TTTTTTTTTTTTTTTTTTTTTGTTTTTTTTTTTATTTTTTTGTTAAAGTTAATTATCATGTATTTATTACGTTTGTGTTCATCAGATGATGGGGGATCAAGTGGAGAAAAGGATAAAGATACTAAAGCAAAAAAAAAGAGCCGTAAGTGAAAAATTAAAATTGATTCCAAGTATGTTATTTAGTATTTTATTTGTTTTTTTTCTTTTTTTCTTTTTTTTTTTTGTTAATGATAATGTGTATACTACTATTTTATTTTTGTTTTCGTAGATGTTGGGGGATAGTGCCGACAACCCCAAGTACCAAATTCCGGCGACGCCGAGGAAGAAGATGGTGCGGGCGGAGAAGAGGGACCCATCGAAAACTGACTACTTCAAATCGCTGGAGGTTGAGGCCTTCCTAGCCCGATTGGAAGCTCACTGGGGACATGTTCGTGGAGTATATGTAAGTATATGTACGTGGAGTATATTGTCGTGGAGTATATGTTCGGAGTATATCTACAGTATATGTACAATATATGTTTACGCCATTATATGTTGGATGTTGCGTGTATAGACAGGAAGTATATGTGGTGTGTATAGGGAGTATATGTTGAGTATATTAGAAGATTTTTTTTTTTTGTAAATTGTTCGGTATATGTTGTGTGCATATGGAGTATACGTTTAGTATATGTTCCGTATATTTAGAAGATTTTTTTTTGTAAAGAATATAAATAATTTGTTATAATATGTTTATAAACTATATGTATACTTTTATTTATTAAAAAAAAGTAACGCATAATGTGTTGAAGGAAGACATTTTTTATTGCAATATATACTGAATATACACTAACATAAACGCAATATATACCACCTGAGCAATAATAGTTAGTATTTTTTCGGTGTATTGTGAGTATATTTTTAGTATATCCTCAACTGAGCAATATTTATAAAAAAAATTATATTACAATTAAAAATTTAAAGCCAGTATATTTTCAGTATATTTTCGGTATATCCTCAAATGGACAATATTTTTTTCTTAAAAAAACGATAGATATACCATTTAAAAAGATATATATACCATTAAAATATGATTAAAATAAAAAATATTATATATATATATATGCCATTAAAAAACTGAAAAATCCATTTAATGAATAATCAAAGATAGAACAAAAAATATAATATAAAAGGACGAACCAGATTTTTTTTCCATACATGAACCATATTTTTATTTTTTTGTTTTTTGGAGATAATCATTCCATACAATTTTTTTATTTGTAACGGAATCTATCTCTAACAACTAAGGGTAATTGTAACGGAATCTATGCAATAATTAAGGGTAGAAGACTTTATTTGTATGGTTAGTTACTTGAGGTATATCTCTAAGAAAATTCTAGATTTTAGGTATAGATACAATTAAAATTGTTCCAGTTGTTAAAATGTAATAATTTGTAATTCTGACAGGAAGGGTGAAAATTTCCCATTATTATTTTATTTATTTTATTATTTTGGGCTGTGGAAGAATTTTACAAACTTTTAACATTTGGGTTGGTTGATGTTCTATTGGACCTGGTTGGTATGTGTTGGGCCGAATTTGTTAATTTTCTTTGTTAAGGGCTGGTTGATGTGATTGTTGGACTAAGCTTATTTATTTTTTGCTTTGGATTAAATAGTGTTTGGCTTGTTTTAGTTTTGGGTTGTTATCATTTTATTTTGTTGGACCTGGTTGATGTGCTTGTTTTGGATTGCCATTTTTTTTAGAAATTTGGGTTGTTGATATGTTTGTTGGTTGAATTTGTCATTTTTCTTTGTTAAGGCAGGTTGATGTGCTTGTTGGGCCAAACTTATTTATTGTTCTCTTTGAATTAAGGCTAATTTACACGCTTTCAACACAATTTGCAAATAATAGCAAACCTACGAGTAACTGCAAAATTTTAGCAACCATACGAAATGAATGTCTTTTATTTGTATTTATGCAAGATTATCTGTTACCAAACCTATACGGATTTTGTTTCGTTTTTTAAGGAGCCCTCCATTAAAAAAAAAAAGAAAAAAGAAAAAACCATAAACATGGAGATAACTAATAACAATTCAAATCTCGCATAACAAAACATCGAAGATTAAGAATGTAAACATATTTCAAAATTTAAACTTCAAAAAGCAGTGAGATTGAGTCATATTCTGTATAGAGTAGTAGTTTCGTCCTTTATATACATCTTCAGTATATATATATATATATACACACTATATATATACTGTAGTTTCGTCCTTTATAGAGCATGTTTGTTGGTACATATTATGTATATATATATTGTATATATGTAGTTTTGTCCTGTCTAAGGATTGAATCAATCTCATCATGTGCTTTCTTCGTCTTGGAATGATGCTACATTAGTCGGACGGGAACATATACTGAAAATATACTGTATATACCCGCAATATATACAGATTGGAAGGATGCTACATTACTAGGACGAAAACATTTACTGAAAATATATTGTATATACTTGTAACATATACAGAATATAACTATCTATCAACGAATCTAGCACACCGAATTGTTTCGACAATTATCATATGAGAAGTTTTTCGTCAAAACGGATTCAATCATGGTCAAAACAACACCAAGTTATTCGTCAAGGGCTAGGGTTCTCGGTCTCTCTCTCTCTCTCTCTCTCTCTCTCTCTCTCTCTCTCTCTCTCTCTCTCTCTGCGTTGTTCGGGTCACGGCAGGGGCTGCTTCTCAGTCTGCTTGTGCGTGCGACGAATAGGGAGAAAGGGTGTTGGGCTCTCCTCTATTCCTCCTCACAGGTTCAACACGTTCGCCGCTCGACTTCTCTTTCTCGGCAGGCGACAACTCTCCTCAGCAACGACACAAGGACCGACGAGGTGCTACTGGTTGATGGCGATGGAGAGAGGGTGAGTAAATATCCTTTGAGAAGTTTGGTCGTGGAGAGAGGGTGAGTAAATATCCGTGTAATATGGAGGTGGTTCTCATAATTTCGGTAACTGCTCTCAATAAGTGGGTATTAATTGAGGATAATATATTTTTATTTCCTAATCTAATAAGCTCGTATCTTTGCAAGTAAAAGGACATTTCATGATAATCTTGCTAAATTTTTAGTCTAATCGTAAGGGTGCAATAAAATAGCTGATGTGTCGTCCGTGAGGTAATTTCCTCAAAGAAAAACTATTTTCACTTACACTTTTATGCATGAGTTGGGCATTTGCAGGGATTGGGCCTCAACTTGGTTCTGTGTCTAAAATTTATTGTACATCATGTTTTAATTATATTATACGTCAAACTTGCTCGCCATCGTTAAATTCATAAATAAAAAGTAATAAAAAAAAATCTATCTATGAGTGCATCTTTGGGTAACCCAAAAAAAAAAAAAATCCTCAAAGCCCACAAATTTCAGCACGGTAGTCGCTCAGACAGCCGAAAATCCCAAAAGTTTTCACAAAATAACTCAAAGAATAGAGAAAGTACATTATGAGCATTTTTATATATCCATGACCAGAATATAAACCATAAGTGGGCCTAAACACACAGATTCTCTGTATAAATCACAGGTACACCAAATTCGAGCTGTTTATTGCAATTTTGCAGTCGTAAAACTGGTTCCACCAACTAAAGAGAACCACCTCGCAAAGCAAGGACCAAGTGAAGAACAGAGCCACCTTCAATATTGTAGTCTTTGGCAATTTTGTCATCCCTCATCTGCTTGCCAGCATAAATAAGCATGTCACACAAACGATACACCATCATTACAGATTTTAGGGAACTACAAGATTTGTCCCGGGAAAATATGTAAATACCAAATCTACTAGACGCCTAGGCTAATTCAATACATAATTATGACACGACAAACCTTTGTTGCACAGGAGGAATCCCCTCTTTCTCCTCAACCCTCTCCTTAATCCGGTCAATAGTATGCGTTGGCTCGATATCGATCTCGATCTCTTTCCCTGTAAGGGCTTTAACCTTAATCATGGTACCACCCCTAAGTCTCAAAACAAGGTGAAGTGTGGATTCTTTCTGGACATTGTAATCTGCCAGGGTTCTGCCATCTTCCAGCTGTTTACCCGCAAATATTAGCCTCTACTGGTCAGGGGGTATGCCTTCTTTGTCCTATGAGCACGTTTGTTAGTCTTTATGTCAGTCTCGGTCAGATGATTTGGATACGAAAAATCGACACAAGACTTGAACTTTTAACAGTTTGTTTGT